CTATCTAGATGGAGTAGGAGAGGTTGAATATATTAGATGGGGCAGGGATAATTGTGGGGATGATAGTTTGGAGTTGGCCTCTAAGGGACCATAAGGATATAGGAAGACTTCCCTTTAGATGAGCAATAGACTCTCCTGGGGCTTGAGAGAATGATACGAGTATAGCTTCACTTTGGCTGTGGTTCATTAGTCGCATAAGTTAGGTTAGCACACGTAATTTTGAATTACTTACTTGTATGATCCTTTTAAATAAATAATAGCTCTGCCTTTAGAATTTATTGTACTGATTTTTCATTCGTTCTAAAGAATGCTGATCACACACTTTTTTGAAATGAATGATTGTTGTGGCATTCATTTTTCCTATAATCTTTCTTTGTTTTAGAGTGTGTTCATTTATCCTTGCAAGGATCTGACTAATGCTCTTCATTTTATTTTCAGTTTGGCTTTGGGTGAGAAAAGAATTTAGCCTATATGCACTGCTTTAACCATTGGAAGAATGACAGATGACAAAGATGTGCTTCGAGATGTGTGGTTTGGACGAATTCCAACTTGTTTCACCCTGTATCAGGATGAGATAACTGAACGGGAGGCAGAACCATATTATGTAAGTATGTTGATGATGAAAAATGGGATATCTAACTTTGTCCGTTTTTGTAAATGAAGCTCTAAGAACCTGGAGGCTGTTACCCAACATTTTATATACAATTAATACTTGCTTATTACGGAAAAAAATTAGAAAACACAGATCAATAAAAGGAAGGAATTAAAAATTACCTCTAATCCTACCATCCAGAGGGAAAAAAATGTTGACATGTTGATTATGGGACTGTCTTGACTTTTTCTCATGAATACATACATATATAATATGTGATAATGGAATTATAAGTTATGTGCTATAGGAGCAGTTTTGAAAATAATAGGCTCAGATTTGATTCTTCCTTATGTAAGTGGTTCCAAGCAACTGTTTACCAAATTCTTTTTTATAGCTCAATGAACATATGAATGTGTGTGTTTTCATGTGTTGATAAACTAATATGTATTATATAAAATATAACAAATTGCTGTATGTAAACTTGTAGGTTTGAATTAGTGTCATCTGTTTTAGAAAACAATATCAAATATCTTCTGATTTTAGCCTGCATTTTTTCCTTTTCTAAGTGCATATATAACCCAAACTTAAGCATCTGTCAGTCAGAAATAGTAGTATCCTGCCTTTTTACTGAATAGGTCCTAATAGACAAAGACATTCTCAGTTGTCATTATTTTAGTTTTGTCTCAGGTACACATAATATTGTTTACCTAGGAATATCGGAGAAGTGGAAATTTATTTGTGGTGTTGGACTTTCTTTTTTCACTTTAATAAAGCTTGCCCTTTGCTTTCTCCCTTGTCTGTTTGAGGGGTAGCACTGCTCCTCAACCTGCTCCAGCCATGAGAAGTCAGACTGGTGGAGGAAGCTACTTAAGGAGCCCCATGCACTCACTTTTTGGGTACAGGAACAGTTTCATTTTACTCTGTGTATCCTCAGCATCTGGCATAGGTCATGCAAGCGGTAGACACTCAGTGCATGAAAGCCTTATAGATTCATGTTGGGATTTTGTTTTAAATGGTCTCTTTGGGTTTTCTTACTGAAAATAATTTCAGAGAAATTGGGCAGTCTTTGGTTACTAGTACTTAGGTTATCATAACTGAACATATACTTTTGAGTCGTTTTAACTTTGGAAATCTCAGCAGTTTTTTTTTCTGCCTTTAGAAAAATTTCCATAGTTAAAAACAAAATGTGGTCACAGTTTATTTTTAGAAGAATTTCACTTGTTAGATGTATTTTTTTTTCTTTTTTTTGCTTCTCCTTCTGTAATATGTGTAGGATATCACTTATGTTTTGTTTCCAAACTAGTTTCTGTTATTTTAATTAAAACTTTTAACCTCTGGTGCCTTTCTGATCGTATCTAAACAAAGGAATGTATGTGTCTAGTTGGTCAAAGTGGCAGATACGAGAAATATGTAATTTAAGTCTGTTTACTTTTAAGTCAGAATCTGATGTTTGACAGCTTCCTGCAGTTAATCTAAGTAAAGAGGCTTCTTTATTTCTTTTTTTCCTTCTTTATGTATGAATTTATTTTCCTTTATGTATGAATCTGTTAAATATAAAAAGATTGTTGTGAGAGTGGAGTGTAAGTTGTTTTCTAGTTGTCTCTAATTGAATTGAAAATGGCAGCAAGTATTGGGGATATCTATAGAACGAAGAAAGTTATTTTGTCTAATTGATAATTTTTTTAAAATATATTTTTCCCTCATTTTTCACCCAAAAGAAACTCATACAGTAATTATGATTATGTTTTTGAAAAATATCAGGTGACAGGCATATAATAAATATTAAACAAAAACTACAGTTTAAAACCATGTGGCATCACCTAGATTTTGCTCTTTACATACATATGTACATGCATACTTAAGTATAAGTTACTACATGCAGGAAGAAAACAAACAAAAACATCAGCAGTGGTTATCTTAGAATTATAGGTGAGAATGGTAGTGCTAGTCTGGTTTTAGTTTACATGTGTCTTGGTTGTAAATTACACTTGAATGTACTTTTAATTGCTTTAGTTAATAGTAATGATAATATTGTAAAGATTCTGGATGAAATGAGGTAAAAATATCATAGCCTAGGTGCCAGTAAACCTCTTTTCCAGACATTCTCAGAGCTCAAGTGAGGTGATTAACAGGATTATCACCATGGCCTGCAAAGTCCAGTCTTGTTCAGGTGGATGTGTAGAAAGGATAGGTGAATGAAAATGTAGTTTGCTTTTTTTTTTTTTAAAGATTTTATTTTTAAATAATCTCTGCACCCAACGTGGGGCTTGAACTCATGACCCTGAGATCAAGAGTCACAAGCTCTACTGATTAAGCCAGCCAGGTGCCTCTATAGTTTACTTTTTATAGCGCTTATTCCTTATTTCTTAGAAACTAGATTTAAAAATATTTACTCATACCAAATTTATAAATTAAATTATTATTCAAAGAGTCTGTTTCCAATGGAAAAGAATATTAATGTTAAATATATTCCTGTTTATTTCTGCATTTTGATTTGTTGCCTCTGCATAAATCTCCTTTCAGCCTACATCCCATGTCTATGTCAGAGTATTATATCTTATTCTGCAGGGAATATTAGGAAGAAAAACTGTTAGAAACTAGTCTTTCAGTTTCTGTTGTTTTTCTTACATTCATTTAAACTGTTGCCTTTCATTTAGATTATCTAATGTAAAAACATACTAATTTACATTCATATTTTGTGACTTGTTACAAGAGGAAATCACTCAGTCATGCACATGATCATAAATCTGAGTGGACCCTAACCATTACACTGCAGTCCTTTTATGTTTCCTTAGTCAGCTGTCTCTGTTCTTCTCTAAGACTATGTCTTTGAGCCCTGACCTTATTTTTCACTCCTAACAGGTAACCTCACTTCCTGCTTTCTGCTTCTTTAACCTTCTGCCACCAAGTCTTCTAAACATATCTGTGCTCACACATACTGACTTCTCTCTTGTTTTAATGGAAGAGGTGTCCTTCCTCCTTGGCAAGGCCCAACCTTCTCTCTGTGCTCTGGATCCCATCCACGGTCTTCCTCAGGAAGCTGGGGGTTTCTGATATTCTCCTACCTCCACCCCTGCCTTCTCTCTCTCTTTTACTTTCAACTTCTACTTACCAGCTCCTTTTTTGCAGCATTTATATTATTTTAAGTCCTTCCTACCCTAAAACAATCATCTGTTGACTCCATCTCTCTTTCACCCTCTTGCTTTCCCTTCATGGCCAGACTTATTAAAAAGGTTGTCTGTACTCGTTGTCTCCTTCCCACTTACTTTACTGGAATCACAGTTTCACACTACTACAACAGAACTGTTTTTGCTGAAGTCACTAATGACATCTTTTTTTTTTGCCAAACCTTGAGTCTGTTTTTGAATTTTCATTTGCTTGATCTCTCAGTGGTGTTTTGATACTGTTGTTGGCTGTTTTCTCCATTTTGTGGCATTGTTCACTCTTGCTCTGCAATGTCTCATAATTCTGGTTTTGCTTCTACCTTTCTGGGGGGGGCGGTTTGGTCTCCTTTGCCAGATCTCTTTCCTTTTGCTTGTTCCTCAATGTTGGCATTCCTTGGGGCTTTGCCTCCCCTACCCCCACTTCACTTTCCCCTGGAGTTATCATCCATTTTTATCTCTTTGTTGAGATAAAACTCTTTGTATTTATTTTGACAACTCCTAAGATTTTTCTCCTGAACCCCAGACCTATGTGTCTTCCTGCTGGGTATCAAACTGAGTGTTTTGAAACTGCACACATCATCGTTACCTCCAGACAGACTGGTCATCTGCTGTAATCCCTTCCTGTTTTTGCAAGTAGACCCAGTTAATTAATTACTCTTACCAGTAATTAAGAAAAGACTCATCCTTATTGCTTCCTTCTCCCATATCCCAGGCATTCAGTCAGTAACTTAGTTCATCTGATTTTACATCTCAAATATCTTTGAAACTTACCCAGTTTCTTCCATATCCATTACTATAGCCTAGTTTAGACCACCATTTAAAAACTGATGGGATTTCATAGTACTAAGTAATTTCCCTGGTTTCATTCTTGCCCTCTTTCCATTTTCAGTTTGCGGTTGGAGTCATCTTTTCAAAACACATATCTGATCCTGTCACCTGCCTGCTTAAAACCTTTAGTAGCCTTTCATCATCTTTAGGATCCTTTGTGTAGTTTATAGCGTTCTCCATGATCTGATCCCTTGCTTCTTCAGTACTATTCTGCCTCAACCCTCTTCATTCCTTTCATTTTCAACTTCTTATGGTTCCTCCTTGTGCCAGTCTTTGTTTTTGTATTCATTCCATGCCTTCTCCTCTGTCTGGAATGAGCAGCAGGATCTCCCACCCCTGCTCACAACCCGACATCCACAACATCCATGTTTGGTTCATTCCTCTTTACCTCCTGGCTATTGCCTTACCATAGACTTCCTGTCCAGGCTCTCCCTAAGCCCCTAGATGAGGTTAAATTCCTTTGCTACTTGCTCTTGTAACATTCTTTACTTTCTCCTTGCACTCATCACAGTTGTAATTTTGTTTTTGTATCTTTCTAGCCTGTTAGCTCTGTGAGAGCAAGAACTCTTGTCTCATTCAGTGCTCTATCTTCATTGCCTGGTGTGATGCCTCACACATTGAAATGGAACAGAATTCTAGTATATTTTTTTTTTTTAAAGATTTTATTTATTTATTCATGAGAGACAGAGAGAGAGAGAGAGAGACAGAGGCAGAGGCAGAGGGAGAAGCAGGCTCCCCGCGGAGCAGGGAGCCCGATGCGGGACTCGATCCCGGGACTCCAGGATCATGACCTGAGCCGAAGGCAGTCGCCCAACCAACTGAGCCACCCAGGC